CTTTAATCGACGGCGATTGCGGAGTAATTATTTGTCCTCCTCCTGAACCACTTTCATGCTATGAGAGAGTGATATCGCTCGATTGGATCTTCTTTTCGGCGGCGGGTCAAACCGATGATATTGGTAATTTCTTCTCAGTAGCTGAAACTGATCGAGCATTATAACTATTTCTTTCTGATGGCTGAACAAACCGAATTTTTATTATTTCCTTGTCGATGGATGGTGAAATTGATTTATTTGTTTATTTTCTATCGCAGAGTACCTTTAGTATTATTTCTAGTCTTGATTATTGGTTCAGTAATAGAAGTTTCTATGTTGATAAAAGAGTTTACATATTTGAGGGGTTAGCGAATTATTATATTCATTTGGAACTTTTTCACTTCTATGCCTCATCCCATTATAGCCTTAGGGTATGTTTGGCACAAGTACCTGAAGAAATACTTTTATTTGCTTTTTAGTAATTGATAACTTTTAATGACCGAAAAGATATTAAGATTAAAATTTTGTAGCCATTTGATAAAGATTGACTGTTTGATTTAGTTCTGTTTGGTATCCAGGCTGTTGAGACTAATTAATGCTAAAAGCTACATATTTTTCACAAATGCTACTCATTGTAGCAAGCATCTCTTAAAAATTGTCATGCCAAACATTCAGGAGGAGGAGGAACATGCAGCTTCTTCGCCGGCGGAAAAGGGCGTTGGCAGGCTAGCGCATACAGAGAAGAAGAGGCCGCACAAGTGTGAAGGAGGCTGCACCATGTCTCAGCGAAATAGGCGAGGACGAAGATTTCCGATTGCAGAGGCTTTGAGAATTAGGGATTTAGTCACTTTATCCATTATTAAAGTGTTATAAACCTTATTCCTTCCTTATTATAATGTCATTTGAAATTTAAAAATTAGCAAATGAAAATGATAACCACATCGGGTGCTAAACTGCTAATAAATAAAACTTCTAAATTTAATTCAATTTAATAGTATGATATTCTTTCTTTTTAAGAGACGGGACAAATATGAAAAAATTGATTAAACATTTTTGGTTTGTTTTAAACAGAAATTTACACACTATTCATGTACACTACTTTAACTACCTTTTATTTATTATTGTATGTAAATTATTTTTTTTTGAAAAATATTGATGAATTCGTCTCATTACAAAGTTTAATAATTTGATTTTTAATTTTTTTACTAATATATAGGGAATTAAATATAATGATGGTTAAAGTTGTGCATTAGTAAGCGTGAAAAAGGAAAGGTTGCAACTAAAAAAGAACGAGGGATAATATAATGTTATTAGGTACAAGATAAGTCACCTAACAATTGAGCGGGAGAACTCTCTCTCTCTGCAATATGTAGTGCTTTTCGGTATAAGGTAAACCGACTAACAATTCAATGAGACAAATTTCTCTCTCATATGTAGTGATTTTAGATACAAGAAGATAAGCTTGCTAATAACGAAGTGGGAGAATTTTTCTCTCATATGTAGTGATTTTAGGTATTAGAAGATAAGCTTGCTACCAATCGAACGAGATAAATTTATATTTCATGTGTGAGTATAATGGGAATGTCGTACTCCAATAGGAGCCTTGACAGGTATATTTATAATAAAATATCAGTTGCCAAAATACATAAATATTCCTAATTAATATAAACTATTACACCCCTTCAAGCTGTGCGGGAGATACAACGCGCAGGTTGTCCTTTAAGAAATGAAATTGCTGACTAGATAAACTTTTAGTAAATATATCTGCAAGCTCGAGATGTGTAGGGACATATTGTACAACCACATCACCATGAACAACTCTCTCACGTACAAAATGATAATCAATATGAATGTGCTTGCTGCGAGCATGTTGAACCGGATTTGCTGTCAGGTATGAGGCAGATATATTATCACATAATAATCGGACGGGATCACGAACAGGCAGGCCGAGCTCAAAGAGGACCGAACGGATGTGTAGAGTGTCCTGCACTGTATAAGCAATAGTTCGATATTCTGCATCTGTAGACGACTTAGAAACAGTTGGCTGTTTCTTAGACTTCCAGGACACGTGATTATGACCCAAGAAAATAGCAAAACCTGTAGTAGAACGAGAACTATCCGGGTATCCTGCCCAATCAGCATCAGAATAGGCCAAAATACGAATGGGATGAGCAGAAGTCTGAAGCCATAATCCATGATCAATAGTGCCCTGTAAATAACGAAAAATGCGCTGCAAGCATATGAGTAATGCGGAGGGCATGCATAAACTGAGACACTAAATGAATTGCATAAGTAATATCAGGTCTTGTCAAAGTTAAATACTGCAATGCACCTACCATACTACGATACTCAGTAGCATCAGCGAGGAGTGCACCATCTGTGAGGGAGAGAGTTGTGCGTGTAGCAAGTGGTATACGAACAGACTTGAGAGTGTATAAGTGAAAACGAAGAAGAAGATCAAACACATATTTTTGCTGAGACAGGAAGACACCTTTCAAATTTCGAACAGCTTGGACCCCCAAGAAATAATGGAGGTCACCCAGATCCTTCATAGCAGTTGAGACGCAATACGACTAATAAAGGAAGACACAAGAGAAGGAGAAATGCCTGTAACGATAATATCATCCACATATAGCAATAAATAAATAAGGAAAATTTGACAAGAATAATCCCACCTTTCACTGGTCTTCTCATAATAATCCCACCTTTAAATAATCCCAAAATAATCCCACCTTTGCACCTCATCTTCTTTCATCGGACCCTGACCATGTTTTTTACTCTTTCTTTGAAAATTATATAAATAATCTCACCTTTCACTTTTTAATTATATCCTTATAAATGTGAGATTATTTATATAAGATTTTTAAAAAAGGTAAAAAAAAATTGGTCAGGGTCCAATGAAAGAAGATGAGGTGTAAAGGTGAGATTATTTTGGGATTATTTAAAGGTGGGATTATTATGAGAAAACCAGTGAAAGGTGTGATTATTCTTGTCAATTTTTCCAATAAATAATAGACTGACCCTGACGGTAAATGAATAAAGAATTATCAGACTTACTACATAAAAAATTATGAGTAAGAAGAAAACTACTGAAATGATGGAACCATGCCCGCGCCGTAGGGCCTGTTCAAGGCCATAGATGGCTTTGCGCAAACGACAAACATGATTAGGGAACTGAGGATGAATAAAACCCCGCGGTTGACGCATATATACCTCTTCGATAAGATGACCATGAAAAAAATGCATTTTCACATCCAACTGACGCATAACCCACCCAAAAGAAATGGCTAGAGTAAGAACAATACGAACTGTGTTGGGCTTAACAACAGGACTAAATGTTTTAGAAAAATCAACGTCAGCCTGCTGATTAAAACCTTGGGAAACCAAACGCGCTTTATGGCGCTCAATAGAGCCATCAGAATGAAATTTAGTTTTATAAATTCACTTAGACCCAACCACATTCTTAGAGTTATCAAACGGAACTAGATCCCACGTATTATTGGAAATAAGTGTATTAAATTCCTCCGCCATAGCTTCACGCCAAACTAAACTTGTATGTGCCTCAGAAAAACAAGTAAGGTCTGCTGAAGTAACAATTGTGTTTAACGTAAAAATTGATTTAGGTTTAAAAATCCCAGACTTAGCCCAGGTTTGCATAGGATGAACATTTAACAGGGAAGCTCCAGGACTGGACAAAGGAGAGGGTGATGGACCGGACGGGCTGGAGGAAGTAGAGGCTAGCCGTGGACTGGAGGTGGGTGTGACGGCAGGCGACTGGTGAGGGCTGGCCGAAGGAGACGTAGGACTGGCTGGGGACGAGGGAAAGGATTGGGCGTGGATGGGGGACGCAACAGGGGAAGCAGTGGTGAGGCTAGGTGACGACACGGCTTGAGAAGGAAGAGAGGATGGGCCGGAAGGGGACACAGGTGGTGTGACAGTGATAGGTGGTTGTTGAGAAGAAGCTGGCCTAAGAGTATTAGTTAAGAAAAATTCAGCATTATTTGGAGGAGAAGATGACTCAGATGAGGGTGAAGTGAGGCAGGTATAGGGAAAATTATTTTCAAGAAATCTCACATGACGACTAACATAAACCCTACCAGACTTAGGCTCAAGACAAAGATACCCTTTATAGTCATATGCATAGCCAATAAAAATACAATGAACAGAGCGGGCAGAAAGTTTGTTGGGAGAAGATGCAGAGATGTTCAGAAAGCAAGAGCAACCAAAAACCCGCATAAAGGAATAATCAAGAGATTTTTGAAAAAGTCTTTCATACGGAGAAGAACCACCAAGTAAGGGAGAGGGTAAACGGTTAATAATATATGCAGCTGTAAAAATGGCATCTACCCAAAACTGACTAGGAATAGATGCTTCAAGAAGCATAGTCCTAGTGAGTTCTAATAGATGCCGAAGTTTACGTTCAGCGACCCCATTTTGTTGAGGCGTGTCAGGGCAGGATTTTCGAAAATAGATGCCATGTTGATCAAAAAATTGCTGCATACTTGAATTAACAAATTCACCCCCTCCATCACTTTGAAAGATTTTAATTTTTGTGCTAAAAAGATTTTGAACTAAAGCTTTAAAAGTTGTAAAATGATGAAAGACTTCAGCTTTGGTGCACATGGGAAAGAGCCAAGTGTAGCGAGAAAAATCATCAATAAAACAAACATAATATTTAAAACCTAAATTAGATAAAATGGGAGATTGCCAAACATCAGAATGAATCAGTTGCAAAGGCATAGTAGAATTATGACTAGCATCTGTAGAGGGTAAACGTTGAGATTTGCCTAAACGGCAAGAAATACAATCATGAGAGAAACTAGAACTACTACAAATATGTCTTTGACTGTGTAAACTACGTAAAATAGAAGTGCCAAAATGGCCTAATCTACGGTGCCAAACAGGTTTAGGCGAAGTAAGAGATGACAAAGCTAGTGGAGATTGGGAGCTGAGGCTGACTGGATAGAGATGACCATGATTAGGTGCTTGAAGAAGAACCTTCCTTGAAATTTTGTCCTTAACAAAAACGGAATTTTTATCAAAAATTACAACACAATTGTTATCAGCACAAAGTTTGTGAATAGATAATAAATTAAATTTTATGTGAGGCACATGAAAGACAGACTTCAACGTGATGGGACGACTAGAAGAATTTAAATGCACATCCCCAATATTAACAATAGGAAGTTTAGAACCATTAGCTACACTAACAGAAAGTGGTCTAGTGTAAGGTAATTTATTAACTAAAATACCTTCTGATGGAGTCATGTGAGTCGAGGCCCCAGAGTCAGGATACCATAAAGTAGCATTTGATTCACCATTATTTGAAGTCAGAAGGACTGGAGCAGATGACTGACTAAAGCGAGACGGACAGTGAAAAGCAGAGTGACCTGCATAGAAACAAATTTGACATACCACGGGTGGTGGAGCAGAACCAAGGATACCCTCACCCGATGGAAAACATGCAGTGCTAGCGTGAGTATCATAAATAAAATAGGGATTAATATTTAAAGTTGACAAAGCCAAATTACATGCAGAACCTGAAGTGTGTGGACGAGGAGGAAGCACCCCCTGAGACGAAGCCTGCTGACCTTATGGATCGAAGTCGTACCCCGAAGAGGTATATATGCGTATATAAGATAAGCATACAACAACAATTGAGCGGGATATTTTTCTCTTTCATTTGTATTGCTTTTAGTTATAATAAAAAGCTAAAAAGATAAGCTTGCTAACAATTGACCAGGATAATTATTGTCTCTCTCATATGTAATGCTTTTTAGTATAAGGTAAGATAAGCCATCTAACAATTGAGAGGAATTTTTTATTTTTTCTATCATATACGGAGTATAAGTGTTGAAGATCATTTTATTGTGAATCAAGTTTGTCACATGTTTTGTAATAGATTAGCTTTTATTATATCCTTTGTATTTAATGTGTGAATTTATTAGGGTATAAAAGATATGGGGCAAATGTGTTAGGCCCATATCAGGCTGAAAGCCTTTACGCAAACCCAAACCTGCGCATATAAAAAGGCGCTTTAGGTTTAGGTTTGCGTTAACTTTGCATATCGATCTTATCAGCCTCAGAGCTCATCCTTGTGTTTGTAAAGTTCACGATATATCAAAGACGAGTTTAAGAATCTTAGCGTATATCTTTCTGCTTCTCTATCTTTGATATATAAATCTCTATTGTTGTAAATCGTATAAACAGGGACAAACAATTGGTATCAGAGCCGCTCAAGAACTGATCCGAAGAATACTCTGCGTTTTTTTCGTTCATCTCAAGATAGCGAGTTTATCATCTGTAATGTTGTTTTTGTAATTAAAAGTTGTAAAAGTTATACTGATAGGATCGCATCTCTTAGACGATCAAGCAGTATATCTTCTTTCTGCTTTTCCGCAAAATTTTTCCTCTGTAAACTCGCAGGCAGGAACTCGCAACCCACTTTTAGCAAAGCTCCTTTCAGCTTTCTAAATTGAAACTTGGGCATCAGAAACTCGACATCAAGAGCATCACAAAAACCTCGTTTTCACAAGAAAATTCTGATATTTGATTTTGTCAGGAACTCGCAACTCAAGTGTTGAACGTCTAAACTCGCAACAGGAAACTCGAGTTTAGAACTCGCAATTTTAAACTCTCGAGTTAAGAACTCGAAACCAATAACTCGAGACATAAATTCGCACTTCAAAACTCGCAATTCCACTTCGAGTTTTGAGTTGCGAGTTTTACATCTCGACTTGTTGAAACTCGAATCACCTTAACTCGAGTTTATAAACTCGAGTTCTCACCTCGAGTTTCTCTGACCTCGAGTTTAGTCCTTCAACACTTTGGTATAAACTCGCTCCTACTGATCAGATCTCGAACGGTCAGTTTATTACAGCAATGGCAACAGACTCTTCAGCACTTGGTAACAGCAACAATCCTCCAGTACTTAGAAATGGGGAATATCAGATGTGGAAGACCAGATTTCTCAACTTTCTAGAGAACAGGGATAACTCCTCTAATCTGCTAGCATCCCTCACTCAAGGCCCTGCAGTGCTTTGGATTACAATCCCGGGGAATGAGGGCAATAATCCACCAATTGAAGAAGTAAAACGGGTTAAAACTCCCACTGAATACACAACAGAGGACAGAGAGAGATTGAAGGCTGATCTCACTGTCAAAACTTACCTGCTACAAGCCATTCCCAATGATATCTACATCATGATTGACAGCATGCAGACTGCTAAGGAAATTTGGGATGAAGTTGCAAAACTTTTGCAGGGAACTTCCAGTGGACTAAAAAAAAAAAGGCCAGTACTCTGACGGCCTATGACTCCTTTAAAGCCTTACCTGGCGAATCACTAATTTCAACTCACAAAAGATTCATGACTCTAATCAACGAACTCAGAAAGATCAAAATCTTCAAATCCAACATGGAAATGAACATCAGATTTATGTCAAGTTTGAATCCAGAATGGAGAAATCAAGTGAAAGACGCAAGAACAGGTCTAGGCCCGTTCTTGCGTCTTTCACTTGATT